GGGCACAGGGAGGCTGTCATCAGCTTCTGTGGCCCAAGGGCTCCTTGGCCCCCGCATCGAGGCTGCATGTAAAGGGCTCACTCAAAACTTGGGGTAGTCCCAGCAGCTTCTCCTCGCCCTGGAGGAGAGCAAACCCTTTGGTTTCCGATTTCCATCAGCGCGCGCTCCCCAGAGCACCCAGCGTACCGGGGCCTGGCACGCTTGTGCGCTCTTACAAGTCACATTTCATGGCGTTTTCCCCCCGAAGGGGGATCCCTGCGTGCTCAGCAGGGTTAGATAGCCACCGCCGCGGGCTCTCGAGGAGCTTATCGTGGGCTCAAGGAGGGAGAACCCCCTGAGGTTTGCACGTGCCCATCCCGTCAGGGCATCGCTGCTGCTGCTACCCCGGACGGTGGAGCCCGCACAGCCAGCAAAGGCAGGGGAAGCCGTGGTCTCCCACCGGCAAGGCTGATGTACCTTGGTGGATCTTTTCCTCCTCCTTTCCCTTTTAAGGCAGCGTTTTCCTGCCTCCCAGCTATACCAAAGAAAGGAAACAACTTGAAAGTGACAATTTTCAGCTATTTATCGCTTAGAAAGTGCGGCAGTGAATTTGGAGAAAATGTGCATAATTTTCCAACAATAGCCCCATTTGACTTTTGTCAAAGTAATTTAATAACTTAACCAGCACTGCTGGCACCACGCTGGTTCCTGGCCTTAGCATCCGGGCTAATGGGATTCGAAATGGGAAATCTTTTCAAATCATCATTGCGAGTGAGTCATCACAAGGCAGATTCCAGGTAAATCTTTCTGCGAGGTGATACGTGACTCAGAGGCGCAAAGTAAAAGGTAGTTATTGCTCTTTGTAAGGGTGCCTGAGAGGAAACAATGTAGTTTTGAGATTCGAGATGGATCTCTTGACATGATCCCGAGCCTTACGCTCCAAGCCTTGTCTCTTGTTCTGCTGCAGGGGTGGGCTACGGAGCTGAAGAAAGGCGTAAGCAGCAGGGCATGAAATGGCACGAGCGCAGAAGTGCCAGGGCAGTGTTATGCACGAGACAGCCACTGGCTCCGGGGTGACATTTGGGGATGCTCAGCTTGGGGTCAGGGGGCCGTGGGGCCGGCGGGGGTGCGGGGAAGGACTTGGCGTAGGGGTTATGGTCTAGACCACGGATTCAGTATCTAAAGGGGGTGCGCTGGAGCCTAGAGCTTGGCTGAGCCTGGGACAAGCCACTGCTGGACGTCTTGGCGTGGCATTCGGAGTAGCATCGAGTGGCAGTCGGGGAGAGTTTGGCCAAATGCGCTGTAAACCTCGTCCCTGGGTGGGGGACGGGACACCTCATTGCTTGATTGCAAGTGAGTAATGGTTGGAGAAGGCTGAGATTCCTGGTGAGTGTGGCACGTTTTCCTGCCAAGGAAGGATGGATGTGCTCCGACGTACAGCTCTTGGGACACAGTCCCTCTGTGTCACTCATCTCGCCAGCGTTTCAAAGCTGTCTGTGCTGCTCTGGAGAGAGACAAGTAAAGGAATGCGTGGGAGGAAGCCTTTGGGCATGAGCATGAGAGCCGTGCCCGGCGGGGTTGTGCTGAGATGGGACCGTGGAAGTCTCCTGGTGCTCTTGGCCCTGGCCATGTTTGTCCGGCGAAGGCTTGGAGGGAACGATCCTCTCCCCAGCCGTAGAAGCAATCTCTTGGCAGCACCTCCATCTGCAGTGGTACATGGATGCTTGTGCTTCCAGCTCGCTTCAAGCCGTTGGTGGCAGATTTGAGAATGATCCTTTCCGTGTAATAATTAACCTGTCCCACAGCACTGCCAGCGCTTTGCTTTCACCGACCCTGACCTCCTTTCTTCTGCCACTGGCGGCTTAAATAACAACAAACACGCGCAGCGTTTTGGGATGGTCCCCAGCTGCCCCGGGGGTGGCAGAGCCAGGGACACGGGCGACGTAAGTCAGCGAGCAGGGTGCCAGCGAGGTGCTTGGCCCCGGGCAAGCAGAGCTGATCCAGAGCCATGGGTGAGAGGGCGAGGAGGGAGCAGGTCCTGTCCTGTGGATCCAGCCAGCAGCCAGGGTTTTCCCTTAAAACCCAGTCGCTCGGTCTCCAGGCTTTTGGGCATGTGGTTTTGCGTTTGGGTGGGGGTTAAGAACAGTCGTCGTGCTGGACAAGCAAAGCGGCCCCCAGAGCATCCCTTTGCTTAGTAGACTCTGGATCTGGGGATCCCGGCACAGCTCTCCCAGCCCCGGGATCGTCTCCCCTTCGGAGGAACGAGGGCGTTCTCCTCCCATGGGAGGGGGCGGAGGCAGCGATATGGGAAGCGAGAATCTCGGGCTGATCCTTATTTTTATTTCTTCCCTTTTCTCAGCTGCAGTAAATAACAGCTCCGACACCGAGAGCATTCCCTCGCCAAGGCCCGAAGCCAAAGAAGGAGGCGAAAACGGGGCCAAGGCACCACCCGGGCCGGGAGGTGACTCCGGCGCAGAACCGGCAGTCAAGTTGGAAGAGGCTCCGACACCTCCCGACGCTCCCCCGGCTCCCCCCGCCAACCCCGCTCCTGCCACCAGCCCTCCGCCGGAGGCAGCTCCCGAGCCGCCCAGCAGCGAGGAGAAGGTGCAGGAGGACCTGGTGGTGGACGTGGTGAAAACGGAGGAGCCAGAGGAGAAGGTGAGCGAAGAGCCCTGCAAGAACGAGGTGAAGAAGGAGGAGAGCGAAGACAGCCAGGAGAAGGACAAGGGGAATGACAAGAAAGCAGAAAGCGGCGTCAACGGCGGAGGGACAGCAGGGACGGAGGGGACGCCCAAGGCTGAGAAGAAGGAGAGCCATAAAGGCAGTAAAGGCCCCGGGGTGAACCCTGACAGCGACTCCAGCGCAACCTGCAGCGCGGACGAGATGGACGAGCAGGATGCTGTGGACAAGAGCAGGTAGGAGCGGGGAGAGAGGTGGGCAAACGCGCAGCCCGAGGGCCAGACGAGCATCTCTGTTGCGTGCCTCAGTGCCCACATGCACTTTCATGAGCTCCTCCTTAGGAATATCACCGCTCAGGTGCTCCCCCAGGCGAAGGGACGTGCCGGAGTGTGTCCCCACATGGCCGTGACCCTTTGGCCATCGCTTGCAGAGGGGCCATGACACAACGGGCAGTCCGATGTCCCAACGTACGGGTGCTACTGGGCAATGGCCGCGGGCAGGTGTTGGGTGCAGAGCCACTGCATCTGCTGGCCGCAGCCCATCTGGGTGATGCAATGGAGTGGGACGTGCCCTCGGGGACAGCAGAGTTGTGCAGAGACGCAGGCTGGTGCGCCAGCATCCGGGGTTGGGAGCGGTTTCTGTCTGAGTCGGCGCTGGCAGGGACGTGTTCCCAGTGCAGAGAGGGGGCGAGTTGCTCCCTCGGCGGAGATGCTGCTTGGATTTGTAGGGGGTGAATTATCCATCCTGGCTGTAAAGGCAGGAGAATGGTGTGGGCTGTGCGAGCTTTCCTGGGGCCGTGCCACTGGGTCTTCACCTGTTTTTCCCTCCCCCCACCCCTGGGGCCGGCAGCCGGCAGCCAGGGTGCCTCTGACCCTTCCTGGGTGGCTCTTGGGGACCGGGAGGGGAAACACTGGCCTCCCCCTTGCAGAAACATCCTGTTCCCCTCCTGGCCCTTCCCACAGAGCCCTCCCCACCCAAGAGCCTCACAAATGGGGACAGGGTCTCCTTTTTTTTAAAGAATATATGTGAATATGTGCGTCTTTGTAGCGCTGGTTTCTATAATGGCTCCTGCTTCCATCCACGCTAGCTCCTGGGTCAGGAGGGACCTCTGAGTCCGCCCTGCCGTCGCACTTAGGGACAGCAGTCCCTCCCCGCTCCCTGCCTCGGAGCTGGGCTGGGATGAGAGGCTGGCATCCCACGTCCTGCATCCAGCATCTTACATCCCACATCCCTCCCGTGGGCTTGCAGGGGGCAGTTTGGCAGCGAGACGGGTGCTGCCAGGCCGGGCGGGCTGTACGCAACGCTGTGGACGGGGCTATTTAAAAAACCAACTGAGCAAAGCAGCGGGACGAGGCGGTAGGGAGCCATCGTGCGCCTCCACCCCCCCTCAGGGCCACCA